GAGTGTTGGAAGCCTGAGCACGTTAGTAATGCGTCTGTTAGAAACAAATTAAACTTTCTCTGAAAAATACAGTTGAAAACAGGGAAGAAAGAAGAAAAGACAAGTATGCACAAAAAGAAAAATTTGGGGCTAGGCGAGCACTAAGAACTCTAGAGGAAGAAGACAATGCGCTGTAGGGCTTGCAGCATAGAACACTATTGGTGTTATTTTCCTTCAACTCACTTAAGAGAATAACTAAAAAGTAATGCTATATTCAATTTCATACTAAAGAAATAAAACTAAAGCAGCAATTTCTTGCGTTCCTAACGCCAGCGCCCCAGACATTGCCAAGTAGTAGACTGATGAAGCCGAATAGCATAGGAAAGAAGGCTGAATACTTTTAAACATAATATTAAAACATGAATCAAAATTTATTCATTCAAAGTTTGCGTTTGTCTTTGAGCAAAATTCAACGACAGAAAATAACACGTTGAACAAAGACGAGTTTACGGTTTTCTGTTCAACCTCACACTTTCAGACGGCGTTGTTTGTTGCAGATAAAATGAATACTCAAAAAACCCAGATGAATTAATGAATATAAAACCATAATAGAAATAAAAAATGAGTTAATTTTTCATAATCAGACATGAGTTATTCTGCACGAAGTGGGATTTGAACCCACGCGGACGTACGTCCACCAGAACTTGAGTCTGGCGCCTTAGACCACTCGGCCATCCGTGCGATTGCATTCGGCTTTCCTATTTGCGCACATCTTCTGTTTCCTTCAACACCAGTATAGTGAGTATAATGCAATTAATTTATTTTAAATGTGTTTATTAATGCTTTTCTATTGGTATTAGCGCCGTTAAGTTGTATTTTATTTCAGATCATCCGCGGGGAGCCGACGTTATGGAGCATCTATTGCTTGGCCAGCAGCCCCCTTCCTCACTGCTTTTTCTTCTTCTTCTCTCTTCTGAAATCTACAGGGGAGCATTTTTTGCTTGCTAAATTTGAGGCTGGGTCTGTAGATGTCTAGACACCCCGAGCAGGTTCGGCATCCTACGCAGCAGCATTATAGCCCCCAGAAGAGGTGAAATCACTTGGTTGAGCTTATCAGACCCTATACCTCACTTCTTAAGCCATACACTCTAACTCTGCCGATAGCATCTGTGCGTACACTACATCGAAAATGCAAGTAAATGGGCTGAGACATTATCATCGAGTCTTAGGGCCCCTACGGGGGGCCCTCTGAATGTGTCGTGGGCCCAAATGCAGCATAAAATAAGGAGGGAAGACTAAACTGAGGCGATGAGCCTTTGTATGCGGAGCCCTTGGCCTCCGCTTAGGCAGGGCCGTGAAAATGAGGCTTTTCTGCCCCTGTAGGGGTCAGTTGTTCTCCTCTATTGGTTTCCTCTTCTCCATAGTCTTCTTACTAGAGCAAGCCCCGCCTGTACAAGCCAAGCGCATGCAACTGCTGCCTCCGTCGCAAGGGCTTCATCTGCACACTGGCCACCATCAACATCGAGGGCTTGCAGGGGGCCCTTCGTTGTGGGTCCCTTCCTTAGGGGGCCCCTCTTTGGGGGGCCCCTGGTGGGGGCCCCTGCATTCCCCTGAGATGAAGCGCGGGGGTATAGCCTTCCGTCCCTCTCACGGTGCACTTGAAGGTTTAGGAGGAGGTGGCCGGCTTCTTCAGGGGGCCCTGGCTTTCTTGCAAGGACGGCCTGTTGAGGGTCTCAGGCCCCGCTGCTATAAGGAGTTGCATGCAGCGCGCAGGGTTGGGGAGCCCGCGAGTCGAAGCAGAACGAGTAGAAGAAAGCAGGCTGAGGTGGAGACTCATGGGGCTCCCCCAAGCAGCAACGGGGAGAAAGGGAGAAGTGCAGCGGTGTCGCTGCGGCTGGAAGTACTGAGGAAAGCCAAAGAAGCAGAAGAGGCCCGAAGTGCCTTCCCCATCGCTCTCCGTTTGCCGCACCCTGAACTTGTTGCTGGTAAGAAATAATAATAATACTAATAATAATAATGATAGTAATAATAATAATAAGAATAGTGCTAATAAGAATAATAGTGATAATAATAATAATAGTACATACTGATAATAATAATATAAATTCGGAGATAAATAAAGGAAGCCTTCTGCTTCCCGTGATGTCTCAGGAGTCACCTATCGCCGCTTAGGTTGCCCGCAGCCGCTGCAGACCCACAAGAAGCAGCAGCAGCAGCAACAGCAGCAGCAGCAGCAGCTTTTGAGGGGGCCGCTGGTTAGCAGCCTTTGCGTTGGGACGTCTCTTATTGGGGGCAATGTAATGCAAGACGATGAAGCGGCCTTTAGGATGCTGTGCACGGCTTATGAGGAATATGGGATAAACTTTTATGTAGGAGTTCAGGTTTCTTCTTGTTCGCTAGCTGCTCGTTTTTGTGTTGTTGTTGCTTCTGTTGTCGTTTGCTGTTTGTTTTTGTTGTTGGCTGTTGTTGTTGTTGGTTGGTGTTGTTGTTGCTGCTGCTGTTATTTCTTGTTTTGTGTTTGTTGTTCGTCGCCGTTTGTTTGTTGTTGTATATTTCTCGTTTTGTTGCTTGCTGTTCTTCGCTGGTGTTTGTTTGTTGCGTATCTTTGTTTATTGTTTTTTGTTGTTGTTTCGTGTTGCTATAGCTGCTTTTTGTTGCTGCTGTTGTCGCAATAGGGATATCATCAACCTAAAGACAGGGGTTTGCTGCTGCTGCTGCTGCTGTTCAGGATGTGGGAGAGCTCGACCCCCTTCCGCATGCACCGCAGCACCATGGCTCCGGCCACCGGGGTGTCTTGCGTCGATTCTTTCAAAAGTATCGTGGCCTAGGAAGTGGAGGCGACGAACCACAGGCTTCTGTGGGGCCCAAAGCAGCAGCAGCAGCGGCAACAACAGCAACAGCAGCAGCAGCAACAGATCAACAGAAGTTGAAAGCAGAAGCGCAACGTCTGTTCATCTCCGTGAGAGTCCTCAGTGGAGCACTTGGATCGTTTGACTACGAACGATTTGCTCTCGAGAGGAGAAGGAGAGAAGCAGTTGCATGCGCTGCTGCACAGGATGCAGCAGCAGCAGGAGCTGATGCGGCGGGAATTGCTGCTGCTGCTGCTGCTGCTGTCAAAGCTGCAACGCTTACTGTCGGTGACGAAACAGAAGGCATCACCCGTTGGGCGAGGCCCATGGGTTGGTGGGCTAGGACCCCCCATGGGGCCCCCCGACTAACGGCGTGAGGCGTGCTGCTGCTCGTTAGCCTCTCCTTTTGTATATTTCACCCTTTCTACGGCGCCTGAACATCGTTTGAGTTCCTGCCAGTAGCAGTGCATTGCTGAGATGTATATTTGATGTTGCTGCTCTTCAGGAAAGATTTGGAAGCAGCAGTAGACAGCATGTTGCAGCGGCTGGGGATCGACTGCATTGACCTCCTCCAGCTCACCGACCCTCACCGTTACGTGCCTCGCCAAGAATTGGGAGAAGACACCTATTGTTGGGGTGTAGGAACTGCGAATTGCATGCGAATATGTGTAGCTTTGCTGCTGTGGCTGTCTCTTTCTTTGTTGTCTTGCTTTAACAAGAGCTACTCTTGTGCTGGCTCGAGCAGAAGTACAATGAAGGCACATTTCTTGTGTGTTTCTTCTGCAGTTGGAGAGGCCAGATGCGGTACCTATTCAAGAACAACTTGAAATGCTGTCGGGCTTGATAAAGAAGGGAAAGGTAATTAGTGATCGCGCTTCCTCTCCCTTCATTCATAGATATTCCCTAGCTTTCTGTTTTCTTTTATAAGGCTAAAAATACCTCACCGGCGTTTGTTGATTTGGGGCCCCGCATCTTTTAAGCTGTTCAGAACCAGCAACAAGGAACCGGCTCCCGATGTAAACGTTGGGGTTGGGGTTTAGCAAGGCATGTTGTATCTTGTGTAATGTTGACAACAATTTCAACTGCGAGGGCTAGATGCATGCAGTGTACATGCTCTAGACACCTGAACTGGGATGGATGTTGTGGGATGTGGGGTCTTGAGAGCAGGTGCGCTACCTAGGCGTTAGTAACGAGACAGCCTATGGAATTTTTAAGTGGGTGGAGGCGGCAGACGAGGTAAGCCGAGGTCGGCCGATTTGTGTAGGAGAGCCTGCCGTCTCGTCTGTGAGGGTTTGGGGTTTAGGGTTTACTTTCAGTCTACCTGCAGTTGCAGCTGTCGTTCTGCCGTTATATTTGTACAAAAGCAGGGCTTGAGTTCAATCCTATGTACAGGGCGGGTACTCAGTCAGTATGATGGTATGCAAGGTTCGTTTCTCGTGTGGCATGCTGCCTACAGATGAACTTGCCGCGAATTGTGTCCTGTCAGCAACTCTACAACGTTATGCACCGCAACGAGCTCGAAACATCAGGTGTTTTCCGCTGCTGTCTTTGATATGAAGCCCTTTAAATTTAGCCCTTACCATTAAACATCAACACACTGAACGCGGGATACAGTTCTCTATTAGCCATAGAGTTGGGCCACTTGCAAAGCTGTTGTTGATTTTCATAGATTTGAAATCTTTGCTGTGAGCGTCTGTGATTGAATTATGTGCAGGGATCCCTGAAATGGCATTTAGGCTTGGAGTGCCGGTGCTCGCTTACGGGACTCTCGCGGGCGGCATATTGACGGGGAAATACCTCGACCCTGAAAGGTCTGTGCCTGCTGTCACAGACATGAGTTAACTCACACTGTGTTGAAATGTGTCGTTCACATTCAATTGTGCCTGTAGAGAGGCATGCACGCATTTGTCTTGCATGCTGAAAACCTCTTGATATGTGCTCACGGGGCTGCCGCCTGAACTCTCCGTTGATAGGCCGCTGATGCACACTTGCTTGTGTCTGACTTTCCCTCGCGTTTCGCGGCTAAATTTGCATTGTAGACAAAATTCGGCTAATTCCTTGCAGAGTGGAAAGGCACATATGATCTTATGTTTTTCGAGCGTTTCTGCACAGGTTGTCAATTGCACTCGTGCATGCAAAGGATTAGCACTGCATGCGCATGCAGATGCATGCAGCTAGACATTCTTGTGCTGTTGCATGCAGGTTTCATTCGAAAGGCCCCGACGTGAGGCAGGGTCAGGACGAGCTGGAAAGCGGGGTTGGCACCTACCGCTACAAAGTGCCAGAAGACTTCGGATACCTCTCCTATGGGCCGTCAACAGGACGAGCGAACTTATGGCCGTCAACCTACCACACACACAGGCAAGGCTCACCTTTTTGAATCTGAGGATCTTCACTCTTCATCTTTCCTTCAAACAGAAGTATCTGGATCTGGTAGCTGCTAACGGATGAATGCGTTCAGATCCGTGTGGGGCCAATGGCTGATGGGGGAGTTGCTGAAGGCAGCACGTCAGTGCGGCCTGACCGCAGCCCAACTTGCTCTTAGCTGGGTTTATTCCAGACCGTTTGTAAGCATTTACAGCACAATTTCTCAGTCTTACGGTTGCGTGGGGGTATACTCAAGAAACACCAATCATTTCGGGCTCTTTAAGTTACTCACCAGCTTCCAGCTAGCACGGAAGAACCACCACCTTTACATCTCAGCAAATGCACGTGTTCAAGAGTGGATGATCAGTTGTGGTTTCACTCTAGATGCACTAGGCTGTTCGTCCGTACGCCGGGTCGCTGCTCACAGGTCGCCTCGACAATCATTGGACCCAGGACAATAGGACAGCTACGGTAAGCCACTGCACCATCAGTAGAACGCAATGCCAATCTGTCAGAGCATGGTTTTGTTCACTTTCACAAACTGTGACACTCATCTGTGCAGCATTCGGGGAAGCGTGATTGCCCACTGGGCGCGTGCATTGATTGCTCGAGGCAGAAGGCTTAAGGCCGGCGTGTAAACGGAAATAAGGAACCAAGCAGAAGGTTCAGTGTGTGCTGCTCTTGCAGAGAAAGCGTGCGGACGCAAAATTACGCCCTACACCCTTCTTTGGAGCGCCATCTCCACGAGCTGTATCTGCACTACTCGGCACCGACAATGGGGGGTCCACAGCTGCTCAGCCATCTGCCAGATCCAGAATGCAAAGTGCAACCTCCCCTCTCACAGTCAGACTTCATGAAGTGGGGAAAGCAGCCCATATGGAGCGGGGGCACCTACTGGGACAACTGGGTACGCCCAATAAGGCTAGAAGGCATCGAACGCGTTGTAGTAGCATCTTTCTTTATGCAGTGCATAATGGATGGCTCCGAGTCGCATGTTGTAGCCTCAGAAACGGCTTGTTCAAAATAGAGTGATACGGGGACACTACTATGAATGGCAAGCACCAATGTGCGAGGCAGTGCGCCTCTGCCTGCCCAGAGAAGCCAATACACTCCATACCCTTAGTGTCTCATTCTCGTGCGATCTATGCACTGCATTTGCAATGCACATGTGCTTCTTCTCGTTTGATTCTCTCTTTGCATTACTATGACCTCCGCATTGCTGCGCAGCCCCAACCTGTTCTGGCGGAGAAGGTGGCCTACTTTGACAGATTGAATTTAGCAGTGAGTGTTCGATTAAATAACCTATCATCTAGTAATGGCTTACCTTTCTTTGTTGATTCCCTGCCCACTGCGCTGTGCGCTGCTGCTTGCGTTCTGACAACGGTTACTTAAAGCGGGAAGCCGTTGCACCAGGATGCACCAGCAAGAGAAGGGTTTCTCCTCGGAGACGTAGAAGCAAACGCGTTTTAGTATGAATATTCTCCCTTGTGGGTGCTGGCTCAGCATGAGGTCAAAGGAGCCGCTGGGGCGCTCGACGACCCGTCAGACGAGGGAGTCATTAATCTGCGACTGTGGAGAGAAAGGCTGGATGAGGGCCTTCCCGGTACGTAGAGGCTCAGCTGTTATGGACATGAGTACCATGTTTCCTGTATTGGTGTCGTGCGCTGTTGAACCCCGGATATGGGTTGTGGCAGAGACAACGCAACTTCCTGTGGTGTGTGCAAATAACAGGAGAGTACTTTGCTGTAAAGGAGCAGAAACTGTTTGGTTGGGATCAGCACACAGTAGATGGCTATTCGCTAAGGTCAATGACACCCGAGGAGAAAGAGGAGGAGCATCATATGGACTGGCACTTGTGCTGGAAGGGAGGGAAGGTAGGTCATTAAGAGGCAAAACGTCGCCGTGCAGCAGCAGCAGCAGCTCTATAAGGTATATGCTCAATATGATTGCGGGATTTGTTCAGGTGCAGCGAGTGCCCACAACTGACTCAATGAGGGCTTTCTACGACAACCGGAAAGCCATAAGCGATGTGATTCACAAGTGCGCTTTGTTTATCTCTCGGATGCAGTATGAGCGTGTGAATGCTCTTAGCACCAACTGATTCCCTTTAGCATATGTGGGAAGCCTGTGCAGTGCATCCCAGGTTGCGTTTATGGCAATTTCCTTTACTACGTGAAAATATATTGGATCATCGACTTGTTGTTAGCGTGCTTTCTCAACGCCAGCACATGCAGGTGAAAGAAAGTGTTGGAAAGGCTACACCTGCTTGACAAGTCTTCGGCTATTTCCTCAGTGTGATCTGAAATGATGCAGGAACTTCAAGGCCTTCAAAGATCTGACTATTCATCGCGAACAGGTTAGCGTCCCAATGCCTAGATCCATTTTCGTACATATGGGAATTTGTTTTCCCTCCTAAAAAGTGGTAAGAGGTTTGCATATGTCTTGCATATTCTTCAATTGCAGTTGGGAGACCTCGTTCCCGAACTTTGGAACCGTTGGGACTACGACCTGATTGCGAAGCGGTGCTACGAGAAGCACGGCATTGATATCTACGATCCGAAGGTATGTTCTTCGTGGTGTACACCTGTCTATCAATTCTCCAGAAGGTGATATGGATTAACTTCGTCCATGGTGCTTTTCTGCTTCTATGTGACCCCAGCTTTGGGAGGAACTGGAGTTCGGAGGGACAAACAACACGCGGGCTGACCACCAACGCCTAGAGCACACTCGGCCCTTCTGGTACTTCGAGCACGGAGGCTATCCAGACAAGCCTCTAAGCCAGACAACTGGTACCGATACATACCCTAAATAACAGGGAATACTGTGTGCTGGGTAAAACCGGAATAGGCAGGGGGGGAAGCCTTCCACCGTCCACCCAACAGAGGACGTCCAGCAAGATTGCTGTACGCAATTGAGTGGAGTTTGCTCTTACGCTGTTGGCAGACCAAACGGTCGTTGGTTAATTTTTCACTCCTCTATGGAGTATTCATGCCTCAGAAATATAGGCAGTATCAATTTCCACAGTGATGCTCCTCTTCGCTACCAAGCAATAAATACTACGCTGCATGCTATTGTGACTACTGTGCTTAGATAGAATTCTCAGACATATTGTTGCCACTGTCAGGCAATACTGTCGTTGGTGGTAGGGATATTGATGCTGCCCCCAGCAACAACAATGTTGCCTAAGAATGGCAACAAGATTTCAGCCTGGAAATGTTCATGCACTACATATATTCAATGATGGTTCCTGGATAAAAACTATCTACAGCTATTTTCTGTGGCGAGAGCTGCATAGAGACACTATTACCAGGCACGCAGCGTTTCTGTGACGCAATTAGACGAAAAAACAGTTTCTGCTAGAGCAAAGGCTGTCTTTGCTTGACTTCCAAGAGGCCTCCAATGAGCAAAAAACCGCAAAACCGACGAAGGCTGTAGCGCCTTGGAGAAGCAGCCTCAATGCCATTGTGTGCAGCATCTGGCAGGAAATTCCACCTTTTCCTTTTCTCCTTCGTCGATCCTGGATGGCAACCCGACATCCTTGTACGGCCATCCACCTTTCTAGGGCGCTGCTGTAAGATCCATCTATAAAACTTACAGGCCGCTGCCGTGTGGTTTTAATTCTTTGTTTGTGTGCAAATCGTCCAAGCACAACCACAACAGGCGAAAACCATAGGAAGCCAGCAATCGAGACCTAATATCCCTTTCAGCTCAGGCGCTGTTCTCACTTACTTAAAAACACGGAAACACTCAGAAACCGCAATGGCGTGAAAAGGGTGAACAATATCAGTTCAGCTTATTGTGTCTCTTTGCACGAAAAGGCTGGGAAAATAAGATGGACAGAAGCATACCTACCGTACGACGCAAAAGACAACCAATGCACTAACCGGCAGCATGGCGGTGAGTTTCTTCAGCAGAACAACGAATCTATCGAACGGCGTTGCAGCACTGTGGCTAAATGCAACCTAGTCCTACCCTAAAATCGGACACTAGTCTCGCTGTGACTGAGGATAATACGATCACCTTGTGCCATAAAATAGCGCATGCAACTCCGCTCAGCCAATGCATGAATGTAGATTCACCCGATGCACAACTCCTCTGTTTCAGATGCATCGTATCTACCATTGCTTTTTCAAAGGAGATGCTTCTTCCCTATGGAACACCTGAAACACGCAACTGGCCGTAGCCGAATATGCCCGAAAGGATAACGCTGAGGCACACTCCGTGAAAATGCGTCGTGCACCATCATATGCGTAAACGCTCAACTGTGTGCACGACACTATTTTACGCAACATGCGTGCCTCATGATAACATAAGATATTACCCGCCGAAAAGCTAAAACGAGAGGTTGGGCCTTCAAAGATTCTGTGCCAGCCGCCCCCTTCCCCCCCAGCAAGACAGGCTCCTGTGTTCAACATCACGACAGAGCAACATTTGCAGCACACGAGGAACCCTTGCTACTTGTGTCATTCCTGTGTCATCCAACTCGCATCACCAGCACCAGTGTGCAGCATACCTTGTAATCGTTGAAACGCCATACGCTGACCTTTAACCTTACCGTCATTCGGCAAGTGTGGCATGCACAAAAAGCTCGCCCATCGCAACCACGAAAGGAGCCTATGCAGACTGCAGCAAGAGGCTTATTAGTCCCGCAGCTTCCTTGAATACCCCCACCTCTTGCCGAAACATCGCCTATTCAAGAAAAGCACCACTTCGATGTGGTTTTTGGATTACTCGCTTCCAAAGGTGGACAGCACCGACGGAAGATCGTTCTGTGACTTTTCAAGTGCGGCTCTCACTGGCTGTACCAATGAAATGCAAAGCGTTATTTCGATCCCCCTCCATCATCAACACACCCTAGCGCAGCGTGCAACCCCTGACGAAACTGGGTATAATGCCTGCAAAAAGTGCAAAAGGTCCAAAGCCAACGCAACGCAGTCACACAACGTAGGCGCTCTGACCCCGTGCTCGTCATCTGGCAACACCGGCTGAGTGGCCGATTCGGCGGCAAAGGGCAAGGCTGAGGTACTCTGCTATGCTACTGGTTGCATTCAGCTAGATCGTGCAACCAACATACACCCTACCCTCAACAAAACACGCTTTCAAAAACTTCGGCTGAAGACAGCGTGCACCGCCTACATCACGTGGCGAATATTACGCAGCCCACCATGCAATTAGTGTTTACTAACTCAACGCTGATTATTGATGATGACGACCAACGATGTCTCTGGGTTCCACTCAATAGTGGCTACACTCATTTCCTGCTCAACTCATGGCTTCGCCATTTGGGCCACTTGATGAGTGAGTATTTCACCTGCGGTATTCCACAAGGGGCAGCACTCCTATGACAGGTTACAACGAAAGCCTTTAAGCTCCCTTACTGCCAATGTTGCTCACCCGGTGCACGGGAATCCCCCCGGCTGGTGAGCTATAACGAACCATAAAAGCATCCAACAGTCTTCCTCTTCTGGCGACCCTTCCTTAAGAGAAAGCCACGAATGTCTCTAACCACCCTGACATGCTCAGCCTGCTAATCAGGAGAGTAAAGTGCAGTATGCTGCAGCCACTGCATGCACACGCTCTTGGACAACGTCGTCATCGAGAACAAAGTAACTACCCCTGCTCCACAGAACACGAATCGGGTTCATGCATGTTTTGAAACCTTCCACTAAAAGCGCCATGGTCTTCCTCAGAAACCCACTTAGCACAAGCCGGCCCCCCTATCATGCAGGTGTCGTGCAACCTATTAGGGTAGGTTGGTGCAACAGATGGGAAAGAAAGCTGGCAATTCCTGGTGTGAATCATTGCAAAGGGTGTACTTTGTTCAAAGATACACTACAATCTGCGAAGCTCACGGGCTTCTACCGGAACCAGCATTAATTTCTTATCTTCGCAGTTTCCACCACTTTTTGTAGCCAGCACCAACGTCAACCCCAACATACCCGCAACACGCCTTAATTTCCCAAGTATAGTGGGGATGCCCATTCTACGCTACGAACAATCCTACGCAGGTGCTGGAAAACCTGTGCAGAAAAGTCCATAACGCTGCTTGTCATTCACATACATATAGCACCAGCAAGCAATATCCAACGACAGCTCTCCTCTGCCCTCGGTGATATCCCTATCTACACAGGTAACAACATACACTATAGTCCGCGTGCCACGATTTTGGGGGTATCCTCACTGACTGTGTCGAATGGGCCAAACAAACAATCTTACGAGTGCTAAGACACCAGCGCATAACGAACAATCCAACGCAACGCAGCGAAATCCTTGTCTCCATACAGCGCGACGCCATCCCCTGGAATCTTCTGGACTAACACAGCGGCACGGATGAAAGCGTGCCATATTTGCAAAACAGAGCCACGTTAACGGCGTACCCCATCGCAGAAAGCCAGCAACGACTTATTCGCAAGCTTCAAGGGCGTAAACGTAGGAAGAAGAGCTCCAAACTCAACCAATGAAATAGGGCTGCCTGCCCAAGTAAGTTTCACCAACACAGGCCAACGAGGTCAAACGCACACGCAGGGGCAAACACTGCCCACACCATCAAAGCCCAGCATTTATTGCAAAGCCTCACCCGCTGCAATAATGCATACTCCGTACCGTATATGCAGCCATACGGTACCGCCAGAACCCCGAACGTTGCGTGCCACCAGCAACAGACTGGAAACGTGTGTTCTGCATAAACAATTCAAGTCGGCGATGGAAGATGCAACAGCAAAGCGCCGCCTGCATCGCATGTCCTCCTTCGGATGCTGAGGGGTTACATTCACCAGGACGTGCACAAAGAAGAGCAGCTCATGGCACCATAAAGACACACTCCCCAGTTCCTACTTGACGCTTCAGCGACATACATACTTTCAAAAAGGAGCGTCAACAGATGCAATGCTTCATTCTGCCAAATTCACATTCCCCAGCAGAAAAGCTACGCTAGTCACCCTCCTCCTATGCGGCGTTCCCAAGCCGGTAACCAGTTGGCACCACTCATTACCGGCTATTTTGTCCTAAGGTCATCAGTGAGTGCTTGGTGTCTGGACAGCCCACAATCTCTAGGACCGTCAGATCGGCCCATGAAGTGTGTGCTGGCAAGCTCACTGTGCGCCAATCCTCCCGCATCTCGCCTCTATGTCTCCCCAGCAACAGTATGTGCCTTGCTCATACTTTCTTCTGATGCCAAGTTGAGAAGCAGGGATAGCATCCGAACGAATGGGGAGCCGTATCCGGCGGGGAGCTCTCGCTGAAGAACTCGCAATCGCTGCGTCCAACAGAATTACAAACAGTGCGCCCGACACCCAACGCAACTGCTGCATGCCGCCTCGAAGCCTAGGAGGCACGACCGGCATTTTGCGCCAACTGATTAGCACTGCGCGGCCGTTTGTCTCTCTTACCCCCACTGAGAAGGGGTTACTGGCACACTCCAGGACGCTGCTCACTTGTACACTTTACGGGCATGGACACCCAGCAAGCGAGCCTCGCACTTCTGAATCTTTTCATTCAGTCACAGGGTGATCGCCAACTCTTAGGTATCATTGACAGACCTATGCCCTCAATCAACACTCAATACACACCCCAAAATTTACTCCTATACAGTCGCAGGCCCGCATGGCCGACCCAAGGAAAGGCCATTAATGCGACGTTCCATGATGGCCCAGCAACACTTGCATTCCCAAGCCAGCATGCGTTCCTAGTCCTCACCGGCTTCACACAGGCATATCCAACAAGGATGCATGACTCTTACCAGTTGGCGGCGGGCGATGCCGTCCTGGTTAACACGTCACCTACGCAATGGTACAAATATCGTTAGCATGGCTCGTTTAGCCAGAGGTGCAATTCTAAGCAGTTCACAAACAACGAGGCACTGTGGGCGTTTGCTCCCCAGGGCTTGCTCCCAGGAATAATATTAGCATCAAAACAGTCGGTGTGTGTACCTCACACCCGTAACAAATTCACGAAAGACGACGGAGCTCCCCAGCTATACCTACCTTCCCACAAGGTTCCTTTGCCACCGCCCCCCATTGCCAACTCCGACCCAGATACGAGCAACTGAATTACTTGCGTGTACCCGTTTAGGTTCCAGAAAGGCTTACTTTCTGGGTGGGCAGTTGCATTGTACCGTTCCCCCACTCATTCATGTCTAAACCCAAAACTCGTGTGCGTTCTCACATGCTCCACGTTTTTACAGTGGA